ACAGGAAGTAGAGGCGGGGTGATGAGAACAGGACTATTCTGGGAAGCAGGAAGCTCCCTCTGCCATTCCTGCCCAGATCACTGAAGAAGCAACATGTAAGCTGACAGCTGAAAAAGGTACCAAGCCATATGGCTAACATAGATGAGACTAATGGGTTAATATAAGCTATAAGAGTTAACAAGAAACCTGAGCTAATGGGCCAATCAGTTTATAATCTTATGGAGTCCTATGTGTGATTTTCCTTGGGAGTTGCCGGTTATGGGGTACCGGGCAGGACAGAAACCCCAACAAGCCGGCCCCTCATATTACAGATGGTGCCAACGTGTGGACAACTGTATCCACATAAAGCCTGAGACAGCTTGGGAAGTAATTCTAGAACAAAATGACACCATTGTGCATGACTTCTTGGTGGCAGCAATTTCTCGGGTCTGCTCTGCTTGCTAGAGGCAAGCAAGCACTCTCATCTAAGAGAGGCTTCCTGACTCAGCTTTAGCTGCAAAACTTTGCAGCTCTTTTAAGAGGTTCTGCCACTAAACACTTAAATGGTGTTGATAAAAAGCTGAATGCATGCTTTTCAGTTTTCAGCCATAGAAGGAAAAAAGCTGCACTGTTTTAAAATGCCGGCTTTCTGGGCTGTCCTACCAAGTCAATCTCTGACTCTTTCAGGCAGACAGTCCGACTGAGTGTGATCTGTGAACAGAATGCTGAAGCTTGCTTGCTGGCAGGGACCATTAAACGCCATAGAATTGTGGCAATAAAAATGGCTACAGCAGGTACCTCATCCATGAGGCTGGAAAGCTAAGGAGCTAAGGAATGAGCTGGATCCAGCCGACAAAGCCATGACTTCAATCCTCTAAGGAATGAGCTGGATCCAGCCGACAAAGCCATGACTTCAATCCTCTCCTTAAAGGCTCATGTGGTCAGAAAAGGAGAGATATACAGTAAAAAGAGATTCAAAGAGGAAGAAAACCTCTAAATGGCTTGCAGTGTGTTAAAAATATATGCAGGCTAAAAGTTAAAGCTCTTAGGGTAAAAAAGGAAGAAAGAATGTAGTAGGGTGTGGTGGTACACACCTTTAATCCCCAACACTTGGGAGGCAGAAGTACATTGACCTCTGTGACTTCAAGGTGTGGTAGCACACACCTTTAAACCCAATGCCTGGGAGGCAGAGACAGAAGGACAGCCTGGTCTACAAAGTTATTCCAGGACAAAGATATGCAGAGAACCTGTCTCAAAAAGTAAAAGTAAAAATAAAAGAAATAAAGGTTAAAATAAAGCCTCATAAAGATGGAAAATACACAGAGAATCTTGATACTGTGTGTTATTATGCTCTTTGAATTATTTGAATGCTGAGCAAGGAGAAACAGCTGCTAAAAGGCTTTTGTTTAAAAATGCTGCTGAACTAATCCAAGATAGATATTTTGAAAATACCTTGGCTTCAAAACTGAAGTCAAAAGGTATGTTACTTTGGAGAAGAGATTTTGCTTTTGTTTCCACGGAAAATGAGAGGCTGTGGATTCATTCTGAGCTAAGAAAAATCAGATTTGATCAAGGAAGACCACCCGAGAAATCCCTGGTAGGAACAGATGGCCCAGATGTCAGAGTTCTACATCCAGAACTGATTCAAGACTGCTGCCTGAAATGATTGAGACTCACAGGATACTCCAGTCAGGACTTGATTATAACTCTAAATTTTCTTTAGGTCCCCATAAGATTAATCAGCGCCCCCAACCAGCAGGAAGTAGCCTGAAATACTATGCCCACATTCCCAACAAATGGACTATGGGTATTTTCCTTTGTTTAAAAAAAAAAGAGGGAAATGATGCGGGAGAATTGTCTGTATTCTGTCAATCATATTTTAATAAAATGCTGATTGGCCAGGCAGGAAGTATAGGTGGGTCAACCAGACAGGAAGTAGAGGCGGGGTGATGAGAACAGGACTATTCTGGGAAGCAGGAAGCTCCCTCTGCCATTCCTGCCCAGACCACTGAAGAAGCAACATGTAAGCTGACAGCTGAAAAAGGTACCAAGCCATATGGCTAACATAGATGAGACTAATGGGTTAATATAAGCTATAAGAGTTAACAAGAAACCTGAGCTAATGGGCCAATCAGTTTATAATCTTGTGGAGTCCTGTGTGTGATTTTCCTTGGGAGTTGCCGGCTGTGGGGTACCAGGCGGGACAGAAACCCCAACAAGCCGGCCCCTCATATTACAAGATGCTGAAATGGGGCTGCCATTGCTTAAGGAGAGACTAAAGAGTGAAGGAAGAGTGAAGGTGTACCCAGGCCATTCCAGCGGATGCTTCAACGGAGAATGGCCAGAGGGCAGGAGAGGAATAGAGATAGGCTGGAAGGTGGGGCAGGCAGTGACGCCCGCAGGATGAAATGAAGCAAGGGTCACCTTCTCACTGGAGGTGACAGAGGAGCCTCCCACTGTGTTATTTAAGGGAAAAAGTACGTCGCAGAAGGAGACACAAAGGCCAGGGGAAGATATGAGGCAGGAGGATGATACTCTTGAGAACCGTGTGGCTGATTGGCATGAACGGTGAATGAGGATGGGTCCCAGCTGATACCCACTGCCATCTTCCAGAGGGAAAGTCTGGGTGCTGCCCCTTCAGGTGACTCCCAACATTGCTAGGGTCCAGCATACAATGGCCCTCACCGAATGGGAGTGGCTATGGAGGAACTCGTCACTCTGTCCTCTCTTACTGTCTCTGTTTGCACTCAGCAGGCCGAGAGCTGTCCATCTGGGTAGAGGGTACTGTCCCATCATCAGCTGTGCCCAGGATGAGGCGTGGGATCCTGGCATCTTTCACCACTGTCCTTTACACGCTGGAGGGATGGCTTGTAATGGCGCTTTGGCAAGGGGATTTGAGAGATGAGCGCTATGGAGTAGGAGATGCTGGAGGAGGCAACCCAGACTTACAGCCACATAAGGGACACAGGACCCGAATGTGCTTTTCCACCCCGGAAGGGAGGGAGCATAAAATTTTATCCATGTTACCACCCTGCAGGGCAAGCTCTGCCTGAGCCTTTGCTAAGTGAGTCCCAATCTGGGCCCCCTCCCTCCCCTTCGAGACCCTGTGAACTTCTGGCTTTGGGTCCTCTAACCTAACCCATCAAACCTACATCCTTCCCTCTCCTGGCCAGCTACCTGGCCCTTGGGCTTCCAGTGCTATACAGGGGTGGGTGAAGGACTGACACTCTGTTCACTTCCGCTCAGTTGTGCCTTCCTTCTTCCTGGCAGTGCCGGGAAGCTCCCAGGAACGCCGCGCTTTCGTGAGGGTAGTGAAGGTAAAGAAGTGGGCCAGCAACTCCAAAATAGAAAAAGCCACTGGAACCGGGGGAGAGATGGGGCTAGAAGCTTGCCCTCAGAGCAGCCCAACCCCTAGACCTGACTGTTTCTGCTTGCACCTGGGATCGAACCTGAGACTCCAGCATGCTAAGTGCTTTGTTCCTGGGCTTCATTTCTTCTCTTTTTCCCTTTTTGTTTTTGAGATGCAGTCTTACTAAGTTGCCGGGACCGGCCTTGAACTTGTAATCCTCTCACCTCCACCAGTTGAGTAGCTAGGATTGCAGATTTATGGCCATCAGGTCCAATCAACCCACAAATCCTGCTGAAGGTACTAGACTCCCGAGTGAGAAGATAGCTGGGTCATGCTCCCGGTTCGTCTCCTTTATATGAGCACTTACCTACCGTAAGTGCTCTGTCACTGAGCCACAAGCCTCAGCTCCTTTGGGCCTCTTTGTGCAACCCAGAGACTCTTGAAAACACAAGACCTACAAGCTAGCCCAGCACAGCATACTGTGGTTTTTTTTTGTAGCTAAAGATAACCTGGAACTTTTGATCCTCCTGCCTCCAGCTCCTGAATGCTGGGATTACAGGCATGAGTCACCACTTCTGGTTTTATGCATTGTTGGGACTCAAAACCCAGACCTTTGTGTTACGTAAGCACCGGACCAACTGAGCCACAGTCGTGTGTTGTGCTTTTGTGTGACAGGTAGCTAGCAGGTTATTTACACTCGTATCACAGCCCGTGGCACTGGTAGCTGTGATGCCGTTAGCTGATCAGGATTCTGAAGCTCCTCCATGGCTCCATTATAACTGTGGGGACCAGTGGCTTAAATTCTCCTTTATCTAAATATCCTGTGTGATGCTTGTCTGTGCAAGCCTTTAGCCTCTGTGGTCAACAGAGAAACTTGGGGAAACGGGGTAGATAAAAGGGTTTGCCATTCGTTCGTTCATTCATAATACTCATTACGTAGGTGACTGGCCCAGCAGAACTCTGTAGCTCAAACTAGCACTGAATTAAAAAAAAAATATTCCTTCCTCAGTTTCCTAGGTTTTCAAGTCTGTACTATCACATTCTAGCTCCTTGTTAACGTTTTGGGTGTCTTACTGCTGTCTTGTTTTTAAGGGAAAATAAGCAGCGTTTATTGGATGGAGTATCAGCTGCCGGAAGATGTGCTACTTGTTTACCATGAGCTTTTTTTTTTAAAGATTTATTTTATGTGTGAGTGTCCTGCCCACTTGTATGTCTGTTCACCATATCCATACAGTGGCCATGGAGGCAAAGAGGACATCAGATCCCTTGGAACTGGAGTTGTAGATGGCTGTGAACTGCCATACGGGTGCTGGGTACTGAACCCGTGTCCTCTGCAAGAGCATGGAGTGCTCTTAATCATTGAACCATCTCTCCGGTTCCCGTTTTTGGTGTGTGTGTGTTTGGGGGCAGAAACAAAAGGCTGGTTTCCAATGCACTGTGCCGCTGAAGCAGGCCTTGAACTCTTGATCTCCTTGCCTTCCCTCCAGAGTGCTGGCCTCTGACCTCTAAATATGACCTGTTAAAGAACCCCCTACCAGGTGTGGTGGCGAACACTTGTAATCCCAGCTCTTGGGAGGTTGGGGCAGGTGAATAAAGAGGTGTAGACCAGCCTCTTATAGAGGCCCTTGTTACAGGAAAGGGACTATATCCCTGAGTATCTGTCTCTCCGCAGGATTAGGGTGCCCCCACCTGAAGAGGACACGTTGGGTGCCAAGCCATGCCCCTGAGCTGAGGGCCAGCTGCGAGCCAGAGGAGCGCCATGGCACCGCCTGTCCCCATGGAGAAAGGACTCTCTTTGCCCCAGGACTTTGTACACAGTCTGAAGATCCGGGGCAAATATGCCTTGTTCCTGGCCTTTGTGCTCATAGTTTTCGTCTTCATTGAAAAGGAAAACAAAATCATATCCAGGTAAGAAACTCAAGCACAGGTTTCCTTGATCGAGGTGAGGGGCCAGAGGACAGAGGTGACACTGGGGTTTTCCCCAGTACATTCCTTCCACCAGCTCCTTCCGTGTCTTAGGCTGAGATCATGTGTATGGTAGTGAGACTTGGGCAGCCTAGGCTGGCACCACCCCACCTCTGGTCCCTTCCCAGCTGCAAGGGCTTAGGCGAAACACTTCCCTTGGGCGAGGTGGTTCTCTGTGACTAGGGATGCCACCTTGTGGAGACAGTCATGCAAAAATGTAATCACATTTTGCCCATGGCCTGCCACCTAGCTGATGTTTGGTCTTTGTGATTATGGCCTACTTTTTTATTCTAGTGCTGTGGCTCCCTTTAGCAGCCTATTCCCCTCCTCAAGTCTTGATGTCATGAGTGAAGGTGAGCCCATGGGAAGCAGGTTTCTGCTAGGGCCACTCTGGTGGGTAGGACCCACTTGGGCAACTGCCCAGACTGTGTCTCCCTCAGCTCCAGGGGAGCCACCCTCAATAGGCTACATAGTCCTTGAGCTGGCAGTATATTTCTGCGTGAGACGGACCTGCTAGACACAGAACCATTTCTTAGTCCTGATCTCCCAGATTCAAAGCCCTGCAGAACAGCCTCGGCAAAGGAAGGTAGGTTACGGACTGGAGATGAATCAGACCATGCCTGCTCCATGTCTTGTAACTCTCCTGAAGTGACTACTGACTTGCACCAGACAAGCAAAAAGCGTCAGAGGGCCAAGTGCCCGAGTTCTTTAGTGAAAGTGGGCGCATATGTAGCCATCATGAACTGCTTCACTTTCCCACTGAGTCACCCCTGGGTTTATGCCAAAGCAACTACACTCAATCCTTAGCCTCCAGGCCTGCTCTGGAGAGACCCAGCTAAAACTGTTTAGACTAGTACAGGGGCTGGCCTCCCAAATCAGCCACAGACCTGTCCCTTTACTCCCGCTCAGGGTCTCGGACAAGCTGAAGCAGATCCCTCAATTTGTGGCGGATGCCAACAGCACCGACCCAGCCCTGCTTTTATCGGAAAACGCATCTCTCTTGTCCCTGAGCGAGTTGGATTCTGCCTTCTCCCAGCTGCAGAGCCGCCTGCACAACCTCAGCCTGCAGCTGGGCATGGAGCCAGCAGTGGAGGCCCAGGGGCAAGAGCCTGCGGCAGAGATGCCATCCCACCAGGCTGCAGCAGGGCACCGGCGCCACGTGCTCCTCATGGCCACCACCCGCACCGGCTCCTCATTCGTGGGCGAGTTCTTCAACCAGCAGGGCAATATCTTCTACCTCTTCGAACCACTGTGGCACATCGAGCGCACCGTGTCCTTCCAGCCGGGAGGCGCCAGCGCAGCGGGCTCAGCGCTGGTCTACCGCGATGTCCTCAAGCAGCTGTTGCTGTGCGACCTGTACGTGCTGGAGCCCTTCATCAGCCCGCCTCCTGAGGATCACTTGACTCAGTTCCTGTTCCGCCGGGGATCCAGCCGCTCGCTCTGCGAGGATCCAGTGTGCACACCCTTCGTCAAGAAGGTCTTCGAGAAATACCGCTGCAGGAACCGTCGCTGCGGGCCACTCAATGTGACCTTGGCGGCAGAGGCCTGCCGCAGTAAGGACCACGTGGCCCTCAAGGCTGTGCGCATCCGTCAGCTGGAGTTCCTGCAGCCACTGGCAGAGGATCCGAGGCTGGACCTGCGAGTCATCCAGCTGGTGCGCGACCCCCGAGCCGTGCTGGCCTCACGCATGGTGGCCTTCGCAGGCAAGTACGAGAGCTGGAAGAAGTGGCTGACAGAGGGGCAGGACCGGCTAAGCGAGGATGAAGTGCAGCGGTTGCGGGGCAACTGTGAGAGCATCCGCCTGTCTGCCGAGCTGGGCTTGCGGCAGCCGGCCTGGCTGCGTGGGCGCTACATGCTAGTGCGCTATGAAGACGTGGCACGCAGGCCACTGCAAAAGGCCAGAGAGATGTATGGCTTCGCCGGCATTCCCTTGACCCCGCAGGTGGAGGACTGGATCCAGAAGAACACTCAAGCGGCCCGTGACAGCAGCGACGTCTACTCGACTCAGAAGAACTCCTCGGAGCAGTTTGAGAAGTGGCGCTTTAGCATGCCCTTCAAGCTGGCACAGGTGGTGCAGGCTGCCTGCGGCCCGGCCATGCACCTCTTTGGCTACAAGTTGGCCAGGGATGCCGCCTCGCTCACCAACCGTTCCATCAGCCTGCTGGAGGAGCGGGGCACCTTCTGGGTCACGTAGTGAGGGATGCCCGGGACCCTGGGAATCCCTTCTCATGAAATGCTGGCCCTGCTTCCCTCACACCCAGCCTGGCAGTGAAACACAGCCCTGGCAGAGAGTCAGAATGGGGAGCGGTGATGGGGGTATAGGCCCTGGCTGTAGCTGTAGGCCTCCGGCCAGCTAGTTTCCCCAGCACAGCCACAGCCACTTTGGGGCTTCTCTGAGGACAGCAGTGCCCTGTGTCCTTGGTGGTACTGGTCATTCCCACACACCTATGGCCTGCAGTGTCCTAAGCAGACCCAGGCTGGTTCCTGTGTATGGACACACCTCCCCGGTTCTACCTCACACTGTAACAAAAACATGACACACATAAAGGCCTGTAGGCTGTGTGGGCCAGAGTCCAAATATTTAACAACCAGAAGGGCGTAGGCCCGCTCCACTCACTCAGAACTCCTACTATATTGAATGTTAACCTTTTCCGCTCTGAGTCAGAAAAGGATCTGACCGAGTCCTTAGAAGAAGGAGGGCAGCCTAGGGTGAGGAAGGGGACATTTGAAGCTCCTGAGGTGACAATGGCTGTTTACCAACTGATAAAAGTGGTTTGATTAGCCGTTCTGGCTACTCATGAATATCAGCCTAGGTAGAACAAGACAGAAAGACAACAAGGCTGGGGGTGTGACTCAGCCGTAAAGTCCTTGCCTCTCATGCACTAAGCCCTGGGTTTGATCCCTAGCACTACAAACATAAGGAAAAATAAAGCATATATGTACATACAGCACAGAGACAGGAAAGCATCATAACCCCCCCCTCTCTCTCTCACACACACACACACACACTCACACAATCATATACACATTCACAGACCAATATAGAAAAGCGTCCCGTTCTTTTTTGCTCACAGTGTTTGTTTTGTTTTTTGTTTTTTTCTAAACAGGAGCCTTAAGTTACATTATTAGGGTTATGTGAAGAGGGTCATATTCAGGGACAGTGACACTTTGCCCTGACCAGAGCTGGAACGGAATGCTGGTCTCTGAATCACCGCTAAGCATCTGGGGTTGCCATGCTACCTCCTCTGACCCATCCACACGCCACAGCTGGGAGGCAGAATATTTTAGAGATGGCATGACCAGCCTTCATATGACTGCGGTCCAAAGGCTCCATCCTGATCATTCCTCGGGAGCACGCCCATTTTTGAAGGCTGTCTGAGGCCTAACCAGCGGGCCCAGCTTTGGTCCCTGAAAGCAAAAGACAGCTCATAGGCTTACTATTTCCAGCCAGTGCCTTCTAGAGCCAGCCAAAGTTCAGAGTGCTCCGCAGGAAGAAGCCACACGAGGACTCAGCTTCCCTGAGCAGCAGCCTGCTTGTTCCCTCCTAGTTGACAGAGATCAGCCCTCGGGTTGCCATGGTTACAGCTAGTGTCTAAAAGGAATGTCTACTTTAGGGTTCTGGGAAAGAGGCGTGCTCAACTCAAGATGAGTAGGTATTTTACTTGGGCTTTTTAAGTTACTTATGGCTTGGTGCTGTTTTTGTTTCAAGGCTGTTTAGGGCTTTGTTTCTGTAGGAACATTCCTCCGTGCTGATTGAGGCTGATACTGGCAGGGAACACTTGGTTCCTGGTAAAGGGGTAGACCAGAAGGAGGGGACTTCCCTTAGGAGGGGCAGAGTCACTCAGCGCCTCCTAGGGACCCACATGCATGTCTGTGTGAACTCCATGTAGAATGACTCCCAGATGCTGCCATTGGGCCCTAGGTCAGTAGCCCAGCTTCTATAGTGTTTATCTATTGTGTCCGTCGCCCTGGTTTCAGTTCCATGCACCACACCAGCTAGGCATGTTGGCACATGCCTGTAATCCCAGCACTCAGGAAGGAGAGGTTGACAGCCAAAAGTTCAAAGTGCAGTGCCATATCAATTTCAAGGTCAAACTCTGCAAGGGAAAAATTAAAACCCCAGCCTAGCGTCTCTGAGCGTCCAGAGCAGCCTGTACCCCTGCTCCAGAACAGGTTGTTTGAAAATCCCTTAAAAGCCCCAACACGTGGCCGAGGGAAGGAGAGGGGGGAGGCGGGTTCAGAGGCCTTTGACTGAGCAGCTAGGTTCCCCAAGGCTCTTCCCTCCCTGTTCAAGATGAGGCACGAAACCCAGGCTAGCCTCGGAACGTCGGCAGTGGGGGTTGGTTGCCACATTGCTATTTCTGGACAACTGCTACAGCTGGCACCGTCAAAGCCCAGGACTGAGCTGGTGTGAGTGATACAGACACCAAACACGTCGCCGCATGGAAGCAGGCATGGCTAGCACTGACGTGGGGAAGGGACGATGGCAGCACACTCCCCATATTGTAGGGTTTGTGACCTGCCTGCTCAGCTGCTGGGTCCCAAACCCGGGTGAACTCAGAGTCAGTTGAGCCGGTCTCTACTATAGGTTTTGATCATCTAAGAACAAGTGTGTAGAAGGCTGGCTCCTGCTTGAAGTCAAAGGGACATTGGCTCTTGGTACTCGATGGGGACATGATGTTGTGGGCACGCTCAGGGGTGCAGATATCCTCTCTCCATGTCCCCCTCGCCCCCCCCCCCCCCATGCAGAGCACATTCCCTTCTCAGCACATGGGAGGTGGGAAGGGACGAACTGAGAATTTCCTTCCCTCTCCCTGTCCCAGGGGCCAAGGCATCCGTGTCTCAGCTCTCTGAGGACAGATGCCCTCAGTGGACCTTTGGGACGTCTCAGGACGTGGACAATGCTGTGTGCACTGCAAGTTGCTTTATTTATTTTGTGGAAAGAAGAGACGGTGTTATTTGCAAGGACCAAAAACTGTACCCTAATCAAAAAGTACAAATAATAATAATAACATCAATAATAGGAATGATTCTCACGCCGTGCACACATTAGGACACCTGAGGACCATGCAGAAGATGAGACAGAACCAGCTCATGGAAGCCCAGGATGATAAAGAGGTTCTGTGGGTCTCTTACTGTCCAGAAGTACGATATGAGGGCCCTCGGCTGTATTGCCTTTGCTTGGGTGTCTGCAGCAACAGAACAACTCATGCAGGTGGATGGGTAGGTGGACATAGCCTTGAAACATCCCCTGAGGCTCAGCCATCCAGGAAAAAACCTCAGGTTTGGAGAGGGACAACATAGGGAAGGCAATATAGAGAAGACCAATGTAGGGTTCTCTGCTAGAATTACGCTTAGGGGCTCTTAGCATAGGGTCGGATGGAGAAATGGCCTTGTTGGTAGGATGAGGCAACTGCTGATCTAACCCCAAAGATCAATGGGCACTCAAGTGGCCTATTGCAGTGACTCTTATCATTGCTGGTGTCTGGCCCATGGTGGAAGACGCACTCATTCTCTAGTCGGAAGGGAGGGTAGAAGGAGTTAAGAGTATCAGATGGTTTGATCCCATGCCCCCAAATCCCTTGGTCCTCTTCCACACTAGAGCCTGCTTCAGTTGACCAGGGGCTTGTCCCTTGAGAGGTGCTGGACTCTGGAGGGCAGGAGCATCCCCAAGGCAGTCCCACCACAAAAGTAGAGAGATGGTTCTAAGATGGTTGGGGGGGGGGAGAAAGGGATAGGGACCAGACCTCTGAGAAGCCACATGGGTCCTCCCAACTTGTACACCTGGGAAGAAGGGAACTTCACTAAAATGGGGACCTGGAGCTGGTGTATTGTTTGTGAAGATCCTGGCTCAGTGAGATGCAAGGAGGCAGTGAGTTCCCAGAGCATAGCCACATTCCCTCCCAACTCCAAACACTCTCCCTCAAAAGTACAAGGCAGAGCCTGTAACTTCCAGTGTCTTAATGCCGGACGGCGGCGGTAGCACTTGCCTTTAATTCCAGCACTTGGGAGGCAGAGGCAGGCAGATCTCTGTGAGTTTGAGACCAACCTGGTCTACAAGAGCTAGTTCCAAGACAGGTTCCAAAGCTACAGAGAAACCCTGTCTCGAAAAACAAAACAATAAAAAGTGTCAAGATCCTTTGACCTGTGCCCTTGTCACTGCATGGGTACAGATCCTTACGTATTCCTGAAGATAGAGATATGGTGTTCCTTTACCGTGGCCTCGCTGTGGATCAGCTTCTGGCCAGGCGAACGGGGCACCCGTGTCACCTGCTTCCACTATATTTGGGCTTGAACTTTGCCTCCCGTGTAGTCTCCACCTCCCCTGGATAATCTAATGCCTGTGTCTCACCACCATCCTTCACTTCCTGGTGGGTCCTACGAATGTTTCTTTTGTGCCAGTACCTGGACCCAGTGCCCTGCCTCATGGCTACATGGTAAAGGACATCTCCTTCCCAGTCTGAACAGTCATGGCATGTTCATATGTGCTCAGGAGTACATGCATGTGTGTGTAGGGGGATACGTTCTATTCTGCCTCCAGTGCTGCCGCACACAGCCCCAGCCTCTCTCTGTCACCGACCCGAATGTTCTCATTGTGGCCGCAGATAACCTTCCAAAGTCCGTTTCTATCGCTCTCATCTGAGAGCTGATAACTGTGTTCAGAGTCTGCTTCACGGACTAGAATGTGAAACCTTTCTCCTGGTGGCTTGCCTGCCTGGCTTATTTAATTAAAAACGAACGTGCAGTAAATTCTGTCTCGATTCTTTGCTTTTGCTCTCAGAAGTAATTGAGTCATAAAAATGAACAGAAGAAACACCATTCGAGGCGGTGAGAAACATGTGACTTACACCATGACCCTTTCCTATTCACCCCCAAGCGCCAGAAGCCTACGAGGAGCGTGGGTGAACATAGGTGTCAGGGCCTGAAGAATGTTATTTATGATCCCAGGATGGCGGGTCTGGTGAGCCTGCTCGGTGGCACCAGATGGAACCATGATGTCTGAGACACTCAGATATTATGGGGCAAGGACAGGGGTGTTGACCCACAATCAGAGGACCTGGTGACAAGACCCAGCTTTGTCACAATCTAACCTTGGACAAGGCCACTTACCTTACCGGGGTTCACTTTCACTTGGGGGTGAAATGTGTAACTATCCACAAACATTGTCACCCAAAGCCGTGTTAGGGATTTAAAAGTCAGTTAAAGGGTGGCTCTTTTTGCATGCCAAGATACTGCTTGAGGCTTTATTCTGCCTTCACTAAAACCGCAACAGCCCCGTGAGAAGATGGCTAAGAATCTTTCAGGGGAGCAGTGTCGTGGAGTCCCTTCAGGATGCAGCTGTGTTTCTCTGCCATCGTGGCCTTGGTGTGAACTAGATTCCAGCCCTGTATTGGTCAGTTTCCTGTTACTAGAACACACACACCCAAGGCAGTGGGCTTATAAAGCGAAAAGGTTTGTTTGGGTTCAGGGTTGGGGACATTTTAGTTCATGGGCCAGAACATGAAAACAAAAGAAGAGGAAGGGGGCTGGGACCCACTGTCCCCTTCAAGTGCATTCTCAGAGACCTGAGGACCTTCCACTGGGCCCCACCATTAAAGGCCCCACTTCTTCCCACCCCCACATGCCAAGTAATGACTGTAACTCTGGGATCTGAGAGCATTCTGGATGCAAAGGATAGGAAACCCTCTTGTCACCTAAGATGCTTCAGGATGAAACAGATGTTTCCCCAGGGAGAAGGGAAAGTTCATGTTGGGACACAGGGAGACCAACCTGGGGTGGGGGCTGGGGTCTAGGAGCTAGGGGGCAGCTGGGAAGAGGTAAAAGAGCTGGGCCCTGAAGGCAGAGGCTCCAGAAGTGAAGAAATGGCAGCAGTGAGGCACAGCACAGATGGCTAGGAACGCCCTGCCTCCTAAAACTCAATCTCCAGTCACAGCATTTTCCCCTGGTCCCAGTTTTGGCAAATTAAAGCATTTCCATTTTAGCCTTCAATGTTCCAGCCTGCACGATCACACCCAAAACAAGTGATCCCTTTTCAATACGACAGTCACTGGCCCATCTGCTCTGGGCTGGGCTTCCTGCCACAAATGACCCCGACAGAAATAAATTAGTTTAATCACGGAGTAAAGAGGTCTGGACACCCACCCACCACCTCCAGCCACCAGCACAGCCGGAAGCCTCTTTCTGCCCCCTACCCCCACCCTCTCCTTCCCCTCACCCCATTCATGGCTCCTGACTCTTCTTGTCCTACATCCCAAGCCATAACACAGGACTTGGGTACCATGAGGTCCTGAGATAGTTACCTACAAAAACTGAGGAAGCCACTGTCTAGCTTGGAGCCTGCAGCAGCGTGTCCCCCAAGTACATTTAGGGTTGTGTCCCAGCTGTTTTTTTTTAAGATTATTTATTTTATGTAAGAGTGCTCTATTGACTTTAGGTTGGAAGAGGGCATCAGATCCCACTATAGATGGTTGTCAGCCACCATGTGGTTGCTGGGAATTGAACTCAGGACCTTTAGAAGAGCAGCCAATGCTCTTAACTGCTGAGCCATCTCTCCAGCACACCACCAGCTGCTCTTGAGAAATTAACTGAGTGTGTCAGTTTATCTAAGATGCTAAGAACGACCTAGTTCCTTTGATCGACATCAAGGATTCCTCTACAGAATTGTGCCTGCTCACACCGCTTTTGAACTTTTTGAGGTAGCATCTCACATAACCCAGGCTGGCGCTGCATTTGGTGTATGGTTGAGGATCACCTTGAGCTTTTGATCGTTCTGTCTCTACCAAAGAGTGCCGGTATTACAGGCGTGTACCACCATGCCTAGCGTATGTGATGCGGGGATCAAAACCAGAACTTCGTGCATACTGGGCAAGCACTCTATAAGATGACCTACAGCCCCTAAAAAGGAGAGAGGGAAAAAGAGTGGGAGGGAGGGAGGAAGGGAAGGAAGAGAGGGAGGGAGCGGGAGATTCTCTATGTATCCCTAGATGGCTTGGAATCCACTATGTAGACCAAGCTGGCTTTGAACTCACAGAGATCTGTTTGCTTCTGCCTCTCCAGCATTGGAATTAAAGGCATTCATCACCACGCCTGGTCCCTTTTTCTAGCCTAAAAAACCATTAAGGGTGAAATACTCATTTGACTTTTTTTCCTCAGTGTTTGAGAATACTTGCTGCTCTTACAGAGGATCTGGGTTTGGTCCTCCCTCCCTGCCGGTACCCACACCAGGAAGTTCCCAACTTCCTGTAACTTTAGTTCCAGGGGATACAGTGCTCTCTTCTGGGCCCTGAAGGCATCGTCACGCCTGTGATATATGTACAATAAGCAGGCATGGAAAGACATATAAATAAATTTAAAAACCACTTTAAGACCCTGGCATTCTTTAGAACAGTTTCTAGGCACCCCAGAAAGAAGCAATAGGACTCAGAGGCACAAAGATGGTGGTGATGAAGTGGCTTGGGATAAAAACCCCAGAGTCGTGTTCAAGGGCCCCATCCATCCTTGTGTCTCATCAGAACCTTGAACAGTATTCCGAGTTTCTGATACCAGTAATGGGAGTATTAGCTGTGAGACGGGAGCAGCCTTGAAACACCGTGGGTCAGAGTTCACGACACCAACACCCCTGTCACATAAAATCTCTGGGCACCCAAACCCCTGGTCCTTGGCTTGTCAATTCCTATGTGTGGGGACCAGTCCATGGGGACTGAGAAGTAGGCTGGGCATAAACACGTCAGGGTGCTATTTCAGAGAAAACGATGTCTGAGATAGCCCTTAAAGAGCCCTTACTGAAACAGCTGAGCAGGTTACTAACAGGGAGGACATTCTCGGGAGTCCTGCTGTCATCACCATGACTCCTTTTCTGACCTTAGTGTCACAGTGCCTTCTAAGAACAACCAAAGCCTCAGTAGCAGAGGCCTCAGGAAGGGAGAAAGGAAGGGAGGGGGAGGGAAAGAGCACAGGAGAATGAGAGTTGGGAGGGGTTCGGGCTGAAAAGAACACCCCCTCAGACAGCCCCAGCCCTTCAAGAGCATTTGTAGGCGTGTGCACGCATGTGTGCCTGAATACACACACACACACACACACACACACGCACACGCACACACACGCAAATGTGCCTATACATATTCACACATATTACACAAACATATACATGGGGTGGGAAAGGCCTGAATGCCTGCCCGGCAGGTAGTTACTGAAAACCACAACCGGGCTGTAACACAGAGCCCGGATGTCCCCTGACTGCCACCCACAGAGCCAATGTGTACAGAGGAGAGGGACACTTTTCTCCTTCCTTTGGGACCGTTCTCATTGACACCATTTCTCCTTCAGCTTTTGTAAATGTTCTCTTTCTCTTGACTGGGTGTTGATTTTGAAGCGGTTTCCCTCCGGGGGCGGGCAGGGGGATGCCATCTACCTCTGTCTCTGTGTGGAGAGGGAAGGATGAACCGGCTTGTCCAGAGCATCTCCCCCTGCACAGCCCTTCTCCCTGCCTTGGTCCTGAAAACCTTCCCGCCAAAAGCAGGCACCTTCACACTGGATTCGGATCCCATGACTTTCTGATTCTGTTGGGAATGGAGGGACGGTTGAGATGACATATATCAGGACTTGTCCATGGACGCAGGAATCCCAGAGGGACTGCACCTGATACTTCATTCATTCTCAGGGTCCACTCTGTGCCCAACCAGTCAGGGCAGGGGGTGAATGAATGAATGAGTAAAAGAATGGATGAATGGATGTGACGGAGACCAAGAAGTGCTTGGGAGAAGTACCTGTCTTTCTTTTACCATAATAAAATGCATGCAATATAAATTTACATATCATGGTATTCCTGCCATTCATAATGGACCATTCTCAACATTGGTTCTAGAACAGTGTCACCATCCTTAAAGGAGGTCCCCATTTCCTTGGAACCGCAGTCCCGCAAACCCTTATTGGGAACCTACTGAATGCAAAACCCACACCAGCCTCAGGAGTACAGGAAAGGAGGCACAGCCCCTGGCTCCTGAGCTACCAACATGTTCATGGGAGATGTCCTGCATCAGATTGCCCAATGAGGGAAATCCACCAGTATCAACAGGACCTGCATTTATAATCATCTACACAAACGAGGTCCCCCACGGGGAACAACAAAGCTCCCTGTCAAAGTTTCTATCCATCCCTTCCCAGTGTATTCGATGCGCTGTGTAGGGTGAAGTGGGTGGCTTCAAGGGCAGCTCACCCGCTCTGTCCTGCTTTCCCCACCGCACTGCTCAGGTGAGCCAGAAGCAGTAGGAGCTGCTGGCACAGCCAGGGGGTGCCATATGACCCCTTAGGGGGCAAATGGAAACAAAAGGATGGTGGACACCTTTCCCCACATAAAATGCTGGCTTCCTGTAACGTAGGCTGTGACCAGGGAATCTCTAGTGGCGACCTTAGGCAGAGCTCTCAGCCTGTCTTTGTGGCACTGCTTCACCTGTACAATATGATAGGACCAAAGATGGTGTCTGCTTGCAAAGGGTGAGGTGAGGCTTAGGCGTGGTTGTCAGGTGCAAGTGACGTGAACCATTATTACATTGGGGACCTGGCCAGAGGTGGGGAAGGAAGAGGCTTAGAACCACCAATGACAAGACCAACTGTGTATCCATCAATATTTCAAGAAAGCCATGTTCGTAACATTATTCGCTCCTCAATGTCCATCTCAGATCTGACCTACATCCATGTGCCCAGGGTCTCGTGTCCTGTGGAGCAGATGCTCGACAAATCCATTTCAGTGG